CCAAAAAAAAAAAAAAAAAAAAAAAAAGAGGATATGTCATGCTTTGCACGGTGTTCACACTAGTGGATAGGAATAGGTAATCCCTCAGGCCAAGCTCTAACTCATGCCTAGTCTCAGCTAATGAATATATTAGAAGACATGCGAGTTTTTTAAAGTTGAATAGTAACTGACATTCTGAGAATCCAAAGTTTACAAGTAGGGTGCAGTCAACAACTCACACAACAACTCACACTGTGTGCAGAAGAAGGTTAACTCGAAATATCTCAGTAAGACTGAATCAATATGAAACTACAATCTCAGAATGATAACTAATCAAACAGCTGGAGAATAAAGTATTCTGGAACTAAAATGAACAAAGCTCAATTTGAATACAAGTCTGGTTTAGCAGCCATGGATACCAAAGTGATTCGGAAAGATATAAGTCTACACTGATGCGTGTATTGAAGGTCAAAAGACATCAAATGATGCAGATTGCTTGAAACTTGGTGGTTACCTCGTGGAGTTAATCAAGCTTTAGCTTGATGTTGGTAAACTTAAAATAATAAGATAAAGTGACATATTTGTCATAAGTGCCCAGTTAACCTTTTTCACCCAATGCGTGTCTGCCATTCAGATTCCAAGAGAACGCAAATAAAATGTAATCAGGAAATGTAAAAAAGACAAGCATACCTCCAAGATGATGTCAGATTCCTTGCTTTTCTGTCTAAATGAATGTTTTCTAGGGCGCTTGAAGCTCGAATTACGTCTTCGGAGAGATCATCATCGTATCTCCAGTTGTACTCATCCTTCCGAAAATTGGAGCCCATTCTCCTATCTGAAGTCATAACAATCAGATAAAATTAATAAAATGCGAACAGAAAACTAACAACAAATTCAAATATAAATGCTAGTTACCTGATGACTGGGAAGATGGCATCGGCCTGCCATATCAATGAACAGAAAATTTTAAAATTTAAAAAAAAATCTTCAGGTATCGGAAGCAGAAATTTATTAATTTTTCATGGTTTTCTCACTTACCTTCCCAATGGAGGCAAGCCACCAACAGTAGATGAGGATGATGTCCTTCGAGTGTTCCTTGGGTCTGAAGTGGATACTGAGTCGGTCTCTGTAGTGGTCATTTTCCTACCTGATAGTCCTGTTTGTGACAAGCTCTGTTGAACATGCACCAAATTTAGAGTGGAAAAAAGATCGATTGTGATATATACTCTGATTCTTGATAAAGTGATAAACAATTAATGCACATTAAAAATCATGTATCACATATCAGCAAACGCAACTGGTCCCTCACAGCTGAGGAACAAGGTTCAAGACAAGCAACGAAGGGAGATCTGGACAATTCACAAACTCGAAAATATCACTACTGACAGAAGAATTTAGCGTGAATAGGAACAAAGATTACAGCTGCTTTTTACTACTGCAAAAACACAATAAACAGTATTTTGTCTTAAACTCCCATCAACATTTATCCTTTTTCTTTGTGGACAATTGTCTAAAAGCAGAACCAATAAACCATGCGTAAAGTTATCTTTCATTCTTTGTGTGTTAATAAAAGGCCAAAAGCAACTTAAAGAATAAAATCCAACATTATCAAATTCCACGAATAATTCAGTGCATTAACCACGTGAAAAATAAAAATAAATAGTTGAAGTACTAGCAGCAAACCTCATATTTTAAATATCCTTCAAGAACATCTAATAACATGGGCCCGCTTTCGCTATTCCTGTTCATTTCATAACCATTTCTGCTGCTGAAGTCCCTCAATTCAGCTTTCCAAAAATCCTTTTGCTGAAAGGAAATATCAAAATGAAGGTTACATTTGATTTTCAACAAGTCTGATTCTAAAGTAACAGCATTACATAAATAAGGGAGGAAAAAGGAGCAAGATTTACCAAATTACACTCAGGCAAGTAAACCTTGAGGGTGTGTCCGAGCTGGGCCCAATCTAAATATTCGCATATAAGTGCAGTCAGTAGCCTTCCTACAGACACAAGATTAGATCTTCATCAGTACAATCAAAGAGTATGAGTATTGATGTACGCATAGCATTTAACTTGAGATTACATGTATTAAATACATAGTTGGAGGTTGGCACCAATAGTATTTCCCATTTTCTCAAGTTTGAGATAAACAAAATAATAACAGATTTGAAAGAGTATATACCAGAATATCATTTCTTTAATTCATTTACCAGCGCAATATTCTACGAGAATATTTGAGAAAATAACATGATATTTGCAACCTGACAACAAACAACTAGAAAACTACAACGCCAATAAGAAAGTTATATGCAGACATAGGGAATAGAACTTAATCAACTGGATAAATGTTGAATGACAAACCCCTCCTAGTCAAATGAGGTATACATGGTTCACAACTGTAAGAAACAAGTAAAGCAAGTAGATGGTAATATAACAGTAGCATCACAAACTAATTGAAGAAGAACAAAACAACATTGACTTCAGTCTCCAGATGTTGCGGTATCACATGAACAATAGATCAATCACCAAAAGACATAAGTTCCACATCAAAAACATCCACATCCAGTGATTTAAAAAACATGCAGGTTTAGGCTTCTCCTATGTGTCTGTGTGTTTCTTCTTCTTCTTCTTTTTCCCTTGTCAGTTGTTGTG